GCACCAGTTTGCGTGTAAGATTCAGGAGCGCGCGTATGTAAAACGGGCCCAACTCAGTTTTCTCTTCCTCGCTTTTCCCCAAACCAGCATTGAACTCTTTGCAGTTTTTTAAACTTCAAGTAACGATTCCCTAGATTCTTAGCTCTTTTCTGGTATTTGTGTCACACCAAAGTTTTTCCCTGAAGTGCATCCTATTCATACCTGTTTAAATTCAGGAGTCAATCTTTTCTCCTGTCCTTAACCCTGTTTAGGAATCAGTTGGCCCACGTGTTTTAGGTGGGAATTGCTGGCAGGCGTGGTACAGTGGAAAAAAGAACCCCTAAATTGTTTGAAGTTTACGCTTCAAAACTGAATAAAAATCTGGTTGACTTAAATGAATGGTGGTGACTTTGGAGGTACATGAAATTTAAATGATCTAAGATTTGAAAAACGTGTTTCTATAGAGATGTGTAACAGCCTTTAAAAACAGCCTTTTTAAGAGGAAAAACTTGGTGTAATTATAGGCTGTCTGAAAGGGTTGTAGGTTGATTGGATTCTCTCTGGGAATTTTGAAAACATTTAAAATATTCTGTTTTAAATTGAATTAAACTTGGATTTAGGGAACCTACAGATTCAGAAAAATTTCCTTATAAAACTTTTTTTTTGTTTGTTTAAAGTGGAAATGCAATATCTCTATCAAAAGGCGGCATTTAATAATGTTCAGTTAAATAGGAAAGTAATTTTATGTTCTGGAAAACAATTTGGCAAAATTTATTAATTTGAAGTTGTGTCTGCTTTTCCACCCACAAGTTACACAACTTAAATGTAACTTAAACTAACACATGGCTAGGCGCCCATAACTCAGTAAGCAGGGTGCTGGCTACCTACACTGGAGCTGATGGGTTTGAACCCAGCCCAGGCCTGCCAAACAGCAATGACAGCTATAACAAAAAGATAGCTGGGCGTTGTGGTGGGCACCTGTACTCCCAGCTACTTGGGAGGCTAAAGCAAGAGAATCGCTTAAGCCCAAGAGTTTTGGAGGTTGCTGTGAGCTGTAACGACACAGCACTCTACCAAGGGCAACATAGACTCTGTCTCAAAAGAAAAAATAAATAAAAAGAAAGAAAGAAACTAACACATAGGTACAAGGAGACATACAGGAATAGACATAGCAGTATTGTTTGTAACAAACAAAAATTTAGAGGCAGCTTAGATATCCATCAGTAGGCGAATAGTCAGATACAATACGTTCATATAACAGAATATTATGCAGCCTGACAGATAAATAAACTAGGGCCAGCTTTTAAATATGGATGAATTTCACAAATGTGATTTGTATAAAAAAACTTTAGAAGGATTGACATAGTATGATGCCAATTTTTTGAAGTTAAAATTATACTAAACAGTATTATATGTTGTCCAGTCATGGATGCATATCTAAGTATAAAGAAATATAAGAGGGACATCCCCACTTTTGTGCAGGCAAACCTAACTTTACTAATAGTGGTACAAGCTGATACTGTTATATGCCTTCTTACGTGACAGAGTAAGTTTATATCATCCCTCGGCCATATTGTTACCAAAAATATTTGCCCTTCTAGCACTTTCACAGGTCCTCCCTCAGCAGTGGGGCCAGGATTTGGTAGCTGGTGCTGAAAGAAAACCCTTGATTACATCCTTGCCCTGGGACTGTACCAGTGGCAACTGTTACTCAAGGGGACAGAGATCATTCTGTGACATCTTACTCAACTTCATGCCTTTTTCCTATTACTCTAACCTTGAGCCCTCCTTCCCCCTTTCTGTCCTTTGTCATACAAAAATAAAAAGATTAAAACAAATGTCTAGGCTCAGTCTAGGTATGTGGAAATAATAAATACCAAATCCAAAATCAGGTATAGATTGTCTGTAAGATACTAGGCCTTGACTGTTAAAAAGAAGCCAATGTTATAAAAATACAAAGATGGGGAATAATGTTGGTTTAAGAGATACAGTGTGTGAAACCTGATTGTATCTTGGACTAGGCAACAAATAGATATGAAAAACCTTTCCAAGATAATTAGATACATTTCAGTATGAACTACATAATAGATTGTCTTACTGAATCAATGCTAATTTCTTTAGGTGTTATAAAGGTATTGTGATAATCTAGGAGAAAGTCCTTCTTAGCATTAACCTACATTATTGAGGGATGAAATGCCTTGCTATTTGATATTTTCAAATGGTTTGGGGAACAAAATAATATGTATACATAATATAAAGCAAATGTAGGAAAATTTTAGCAGTTGGTAAAAGTAGGTAAATGATATTTGGGTGTTTATTATTGTTTCCTTCTTTTTGATTTTGAAAGTTTTCAAAGTAGAAAATTGAGGAAATGGAAGAAATTAAATGCATAGAATCACCAAATTTAGCATAATAATTATAGGGAGTAGGGAGGGATGCAAAGCATCTTCAACTGTAGTGGTAATTTATTTCTTGGGGTGGGTGACAGGGATGTGATAGTTATTGTAATGACATTTATACTTTTAATGTAGATTAAATATTTCATAATGAGTTAAAGAAGATTATTTAAAAAATCAGTTTACAATTGGTGATTTACACATTTTATATCTTTTCCAGCATAATAAATTAGGCAATGAAAAGTAAAACACATCAACACCATATTTAATTTCTTTGTAAAGCAATAGTTTTTCTTCTAGTGGCCTTTTAAGTTTACTTTTCATTTTTTTTTTATTTGTATTTTTCATAGGTTTTTGAGTCCTGAATTCATTCCTCCAAGGGGAAGAACAGATCCTCTGAAATTTCAACTAGAAAGAAAAGATATGTTAGAAAGGAGAAAAATACTGCACATTCCAGAGTTCTATGTGGGTCAGTAAGAGCTGAATGCTTTCATTATTACTGTCTGGAGGGCTAGTTTTCTTCGCATAGAGATTATTTTTTCACATATACGGGTTTTGCCTGTATGAGGTACTTATTCCTAATATTATATTTAAAATGTTTAGGAAGTTAAGTTACCTAGAAATGTTATTTGTTTCTGTGTCTTATATAAAAGTTCACTTCTGTTTCAAATTTGTAGGAAGCATACTTCGTGTTACTACAGCCGACCCATATGCCAGTGGAAAAACCAGCCAGTTTCTAGGGATTTGCATCCAGAGATCAGGAAAAGGACTCGGAGCTACTTTTACGCTTAGGAATACTATCGAAGGACAAGGTAAATTTCATTTTATGATTTTGATTGTCTGAAAATTGTTATCTCAAGATTCCTTTTTGTTTTCTGTATCCTGTGATAAGAAATCTGAAATTTGAAAAAGAAAAGGAGCTCCAAGGGAAGACATGGACCCTGTGGCTTAGAATGAATCGAAAATTAAGATTACTGGTTAAATACAGTCAGTGTTCTGTTTTCTTTTGAAGACTTCTTATATTACTGGGACAACAGCCATTAGAAGTAGACTTTCTTCTACAACATCAAGGGAAGAAATAAGTGACTGTAAGCAGTGTGGGACATTCATTTTAGGAGCCATTATAAGCCATGAAACCATTAAGACAAACATAACAGTGTCCTTATGAGTCACTGGCTCCTAAAATAAATGCCTGCATTTTGCTTTATATTATTACACAGAAGAATCACCAGAATTATCTCTGTTTTATAAGACTTGGAAGTATTTTTAAAAAGGCAAAATTATGTTTGTATACTATGCCTAATAATGCAGAGAACCAAGTGGTAAAATTCTAGAGGGATTAAAATGGCAGGAACAGTAAAGTTTTATAATTAAAGTTGAATGCTTCATGATTGTCAACAGTGAAGTATTATTCATATTTTCAAAGCAATTGAAAACATAAGAGCAAATGCTATCTTATTCTATAATGGCCTATGGTGCTGTGCATATGGGAATTCAACGGGACTAGGATGATAATGGCAACCTTTGCCTTCACTCATGCTGAGTACTTGGAGAAGTTTAGTAATAGAGAGGAATGGTCATAGATCTAACGCAGATGGTCCTGGGTTTGATTTTATATAAACCTAAAATGTTAATTCTACCTAACAGGGTTCTAATCAAAAAACTGCAGTATGTGCGTGAAGTACTGGGCACAGAATTCTCAGAACGTATTAGCTTTCTCTTGCTGTGCTCTAGTACGTTTGACTGCTGTAACCTGCTTCACCCTTCCCTATAATATTCCCTGCCTTAGTGGTTCCTTCGCATCTAGTGGCTTTGTATACCATCCACGTGATAACTCCCAAATTCATATGTCTAGGACTGAGCCTTTTCAGATTTCAGATTTGCACATGGAACTCCCTGATCAACATCTCCATTTGGATGGTTTTTATTTAAGTGGTACCATTGCCACCCACTTAATCCATAACCTGGGAACTATTTTTATTCCCTTTCACACTTTTAGTTAATTAAGAAGTTTTCTTGGCTCAATCTTCAAAAAATAATCCCAGTTTTGACTGTTCCTCCTTTTCTTTTTTTCCCACTCTCATTTTTGTCGCCATGATCTGCCTGCCTGCAATTGTACAGTCTCTCTGGTTCACAGTTCTAGCGTCTTAGTCCACTTGTGCTGCTGTAACAAAATCCCACAGGCTGAGTAATTTGTAAAGAACAGAACTTTATTTCTCACAGTTCTGGAGGCTGGGAAGTCCAAGGTCAAGGTGTTGGCAGGTTTGGTATTTGGAACGGACCTTGTTCCTGCTTCCAAGACAGTGTCTTGTTGCTGTGTCCCTCCTGAGGGGATGAACTCTTGTGTCCTCTCATGGTGAAAGGCAAAAGGGCAAAAGAACCTAAACTAGTTCTCTCCAACCCTTGTGTGAGGATTAGAGAGAGGTTTTGCAAAGGCTTGCAGAGGCAGAGCGTTAATGACTTAATCACATCTTCAGAGGCACCACCTCTCAGTACCACCTCAGTGGGGATTAAGCTTCCACATGAATGTTGGAGGAGACACATTCAAATGGTAGCAACTGGCCCACTGAGTTATTGTGCTGCACCTAAATGGACCTTTCCTTGGTTTTTCAAACATGGCAAGTTTGTTAACACCCCAGGGCTCTGCTGTTGGTCTTCCTTCTGCCTGTAGTGTTCTTGGCCTTTTCCGAGAGGCTTTCTCTGACTGCACTTAAAGTTATCCCCTCCCTGTTACAACATCATCATCCTATATTGTCTTCATGGTATGAAATCACCTTGTGTGTTTGTCATCCACTGGTGTGTAAACGCTTAGGAGAGGAGGAGGAGCATCTTACCTATTTTGGTTTTACTGTAGGCGCAGCTTCTAGGTCAGTGTCTGGAAGAGAATAGCTATACAGTAAATACTGAATTGAAACCTGATATTAAATACTAGAAACTAGCATTGATTATATATATAATATTTGTATTCCTTTTGGGATTATTCCAGAAAACACAATATACCCTTACCTTTAAGTATTTGATAATACAGATAATATTAAACTATCACTTGTAGTATCTTGATGAGTTGAAAGCTGCTCCTAGTTTGCACATGCAAAGAGCTCTCCTGTGTCACAAAAAAACCCCCAAAACATGTGCTGGCCTAGCACCTGTTGCTCAGTGGTTAGGGTGCCAGCCACAGACAACGGGGCTGGTGGGTTTGCACCCAGCCTGGGCCTGCTAAACAACAATGACAACTACAACAAAAAAAGTCGGGCATTGTGCTGGGTGCCTATAGTCCCAGCTACTTGGGAGGCTGAGGCAAGAGAATCACTTAAGCCCAAGAGTTTGAGGTTGCTGTCAGCTGTGACACCACAGCACTCTACTGAGGGTGACATAGACCCTGTCTCAAAAAAGAAAAAAAAAAAACAAAAAACTACGCCATCCTTAAAAAGAACTTGTAACCAAAGTTGGAATTTAAAATTTTACTTACACTTTTTGCATCATTAATCCTATTACTCTTAACTTGGAAGATCAATTTTTATTCAAGTAATTGGGAGATAAACAAGAACATGACATAGTGAAGAATTTACTCAAACTTTCTCCAAGTAATAATATTGTCAGAATGAAGATAATTTGACTCAGTGACCTTAAAGAAGAATTTTTTTCTTTAGACTAACATTCTAATTCAGACCTTCTCACTTTTATTTAAATGCATTTTAGTTTATTTCTTTCAATAATCTTCATCTTAAAAATTATAATCTTATGTCACATTTCCTACATTCAAAATCTTGTGCTAATTCCTTTATGAAATGCTTCTACTATAGCTGAGGCATGTACAGGAATCTGGACTTAGTTTGTATGAATATGTTTTCTTTTTTTTGCAGGTGTTGAGATTTGCTTTGAACTTTATAATCCTCGGGTCCAAGAGATCCAAGTGGTTAAATTAGAGAAACGGCTGGATGATAGTTTGGTATACTTAAGAGATGCCCTTCCAGAATATAGCACTTTTGATGTGAATATGAAGCCAGTAGCACGAGAGTCTGGCCAAGAAGTTCCTATTAATGAGGTACAGCTTGTATTTTTGAAATAGGAAGTTCAAGTATAAAATAAGAAAGAATCATCCTCATGAAAACTTTAGAAGAACTTTTACTTATTTCTGTCAGCCTAATTATTCTTTTTTTGTATCTTCCTTAGTTGAAAGTGAAAATGAAGCCTAGGCCTTGGCACAAACGGTGGGAACGTCCGAAGTTTAATATTAAAGGAATCAGATTTGATCTTTGCTTAACTGAAGAACAAATGAAAGAAGCTCAGAAGTGGAGTCAGCCGTGGCTTGAGTTTGATATGATGAGAGAATATGATACTTCAAAAATTGAAGCTACAATATGGGATGAAATTGAAGCATCACAAAAGTCCTGACTTGAGAATTAATTTGGTTCCCTGCAGGAGGATATATTGACTCCCTGAGGATTTGAGACCTATTCAATTTCATTTATAAGAACATAGACATTAAATGAACCAAATATTATTTTATTAGTACTTTTTAAAAAGTATAACATTTGCACATAAGTTTACTCTGAAAAGAGAAATGTACATGCCACATGGTGCAATGTCCATTCCCTTGTTGGAGGCAAAGATACAACAGAAGTCAAGGCATCACCAGAATCCTCTTCATTGAGCAGGGAATCTGAGCAGGGGAAGGGGTGGGATGGTCTTTTAAAGATGTGAAATAAATCATAAATAGAGAATAATGTATAATTTAAAGAAAAATAAAACGAAGATTCATGCACCCACCACCAGGTTAAGAAATAGAACATTTATTAAAATCTAGGAGCACTCCTGTGTATCTGCAATTGCACCCCTCTCTTCTTTCAGATGGAGACACTACCTTGACTTTGTGGTAATCATTCCCTTGCATTAAAGTCAATTGCCCATGTATGTATTCTTTTTATTATTTTTTTGGCCGGGGCTGGGTTTGAACCCGCCACCTCTGGCATATGGGGCCGGCGCCCTACTCCTTTGAGCGACAGGTGCCACCCTGTATTCTTATATAGTAAAAACCTGTTAGCAAATACAAAAGGGTAATATTGCCATTGTTATATGAAGGCTTTAAGGAAAATGTGTCACCTTTCCTAGGAGCTTAAAATTGTAGCTTTTGAGGATGTTCATAGCTGAGGTTATGGATGAAGGCTCACTGGGCCATCTGGCCCAGTTACAGTGTGATCTGGGTAATTGATACTGCTGGCAGAAATGTGGTCAGAGGAAGCAGACTGTTTTCTGATGCGCAGAGCATGATGGGTCAAACTCCAGGTCTTAGCAGTAAGTCAAAACAGAGTACCAACCTGGGGTGATATGAGTGTTCCTGCTTGTCCTGCAGTTAAAGCATGTATGTGATTTGGTCCAGGCATGCTGTTGCTCAGGTTAAAAAGTATGGTACCAGCCTGTGTGTTGAGGAAGGCAACCCTCAGGCTTGTCAACTGAATTACGCTTGGCTCTGCCCTCTAGTGCCTAACTTGGGAGCTCTTTCCTGTGCTGAGTTATTTTCTGGATTCCACGCTTTTCATTTTATTGGTTACTAATTTGTTTCAGTGGAGGACCTCTTTTGGTACCTTCTAGAGGAAGTGTGTATGGAAGTAAGACTTTTTTTTGTTTGTTTGTTTGGTTTTTTTTTTTTGCAGTTTTTGGCCAGGGCTGGGTTTGAACCCACCACCTCCGGTATATGGGGTCGGTGCCCTACTCCTTTGAGCCATAGGCACTGCCCTGGAAGTAAGACCTTTTTAAAAGACTTTTTATGTCTATCACATTTGACTGGTACGTTCGTATATATAAGAGTTTTAAGTGGGAAATAATTTTCTTTCAATATTTAAAGTTACTGTTACTCAATTGTCATATTTCTAGTGGTATGTTGAGAAATCCAAAACCGTTTTGGTTTCTGCTCCTTGTATAAATTTCATGGTCATGTGCCTTGGTGTGGGTTTATATCCATTGTTTTGGGCTTCTGATAGGCCCTTACTATGTGATAACTCATTCTGTCAGTTGTGAGAAATAGTGTTCATTGATTCAGTCTCCCTTTCCTCTTCCTGAAACTAATATTTGGGCATTGGATATCCAGGACCTGGGTATCTATTTTCTTACCTTTTCCCTGCCACTTCTTGGGTTTCTAGCTTTTTTACTTAATCTTCCAATTCTTTGCTATTATATATTAAAGTCTTAAGATGCCTTTTTGATTTGTGAAGTTTTTTTACATAGTACCCTCTTATGCTTTTCTCTATGGATTTGTTCTCTTACTACTATGGCAACTCATTGTAGTAGTATTATATTTTATTTATTTTTTGGAGACAGTCTCAAGCTGTCACCTATGGGCATCATGGTTCACAGCAACCTCCAACTCTTGTGCTCAAGGAATCCTCTTACCTCAGTTTTTGTAGTTTTAGTGGAGACGGGGTCTCGAGTTTGCTCAGGCAGGTCTATCAACCTCATGAGCTCAAGCTATCCACCTGCTTCGGCCTCCCAGAGTGCTAGGATTATGTATTTTTTTCTTTTGAAATTGTTTCCTAGCATATCTTTCCTCCAAATTTCTTCTTTCTGTGTGTATGTATTTCTGTTTTCTATATTTTAGGCTTTTCCAGGACATCTGGTAATCCTTGGCTCTCTTAACAGTTGAAGGGAGGATTGAAAAACTTGAAAAGCCTTGGACTGTGGGAAGGGGTTGTCCTTAGTGTTATTTGAATAGGCTTTTTGGGGAGTCCCCTCCTCCATGTGAATATCTTGGTTTGGACAGATTCTCCAGAGTAGAGGCTTATCTCCCTCTTGGAGGGAAAGGTTCTATTTGCCAGACCGCAACCTTCAGCGACTTCCTTGATTTTTTTCACTAATGGTGGTGATATAGGTTTCTCACCACTTTTAAGAAGCAAATATGCCTTCCTTCACTTAGAGTATTTGCTGAGATTGCCTCTCAAAAGTTTAACAAGAGTGTATTTCCTGTATTATTCTCTTTATCTTATTAGAAACTTGTTATTTCTTTGCCATCATAAACACACTTCAATCTTCTTGGTAGAACGGTAGATGGACATATTTTAAGATGTAAAGCTATGCAAATATATGATCAGTTAGTAAGCATTGGTGCTCAAAAACATGACCAGTTGTGTTTCCTACTCTTTTTCTAGTATTGAAAGGATCGTTGTTTAATATTTAAAAGATTGTTATCTGGTCTTACAACTGATGCATTTTTCTGCTTTGTCATTTTGTTTGCAAACCACCTAAAAGTCTTAATTTCCTCATCTATTTGACACATTACCAAAATGGACTCTATGTTGTAATCACATGGGTAATGTGCAAAAGTACGAATAGCTGAATGATTTTTCAGGGGATTATCTTTTTCCTTCTGTTTTCAAATTATTATAAACAGTTTCTAAAGACATGGTCACAGCTGCCAG